GAATTTTTGTTAGATAGATCAATAGTGCTATGGGGCTGCTTAAGCTTTTTTAAGATAGAAGTTATCTCTGGGGTATTGCTGCTGGAGAGAATGGTATATCACCAATATCCAAAAAGATCAAATCACAATTTTGTCCAAACACCCACACAAAAATATTCACGAATTAACCATTCTCTCCAGCAGCGATACCCCAGAGATAACTTCTATCTTAAAAAAGCTTAAGCAGCCCCATAGCACTATTGATCTATCTAACAAAAATTTGTATTCATTGAACCCAGCAAACTTCCTTGTAACTTAAATACAATTATTTTAGTCCGTACAATTTTTGTGTGGGTGTTTGGACAAAATTGTGATTTGATCTTTTTGGATATTGGTGATATACCAAATAATTTTTGTGGATTTATTTTTAAATTTTAGTTTTAAATTAAATGCTGTTGTATTTACTTGATAAAAGTTGGTCATAGCATTTTACAGCATTTTAGGGACATAAATATTTATTTAGGGAATCATAAACAATATAAAGAATATTTAAAATTTTCTAATCAATTTGGAATCAACTTGTTATGTTTTTAATTTTTGTTAAGGAAAAATTTGTGTTTTTTTAAAAAAAAATTGATTAAAATGCAAGTCGTTTTGTGCTTAGGTATATTATGATATCAAAAAGCAATCGGGAGTGAAGCGATTAACTGTTCTTGCGGTATATAAATTATATTATTTGGTAGTTTTATTTGCTGAAGAATTGTGTCAATTTCTGGAGTGTATCGTCGAAAAAAGACGTATAATTCGTGTTTATCGTCGTTAGGGTGTTGTGCTAGTATACTAATATGATCTTTTTCCGTGTTAGTGATATACCATATGATGTTAGAGACTTTATTTCCTAATTTGAGTTTTAAATTTATTGTACTGACGTCAATTTAAAAATGTGTTGACATTAATTTTTTCGATGTTTTCTTTTTCTTAAGCTAAGTTGTACTATTTGATTAGTTTGTTTTAGAGTAATGAAAACCTCCTAGGAATTATTGAATATTAAGAAAGGTTATTAATAATAAAATAAGAATAAAAAAAAATTTTGGAAAAAAAAACTAAATTTTTTCTAAGTTTTTCAAGTTTTTATTCGCTGAAACCTTAACTGAAACCTGAAACTTTCTTCAAGATAAGATTAATTGATGCTTTTGGTATGGTTAACAATATAACTATATGCCTTTTTGGGCTATTATTAGCTCACTACTTAATTTTTTTTGTTAAAATTTTTACAAAAATTATTGACTGAAACGATAATCTGAAACCTGAAACTATGGTAGCTGAAATTGAGTTTTTTTTAATCTTAAAATTGTCTAGAAGCTTTAGTATACCTAGTTTATGCTTTATCTTGCAAAAAAATTCAAGAAAACCGAATCTTTTGATATCTTAAACTTAGTTTTTGAAATCTCAAACCTAAAACTCTTAAACTCTCTCAAACTCGATGCATGAAAATAAAAAGTTGGTTTTTGATAGCTGGTCTAGTGTAAATTAGAATTTGGAACAGGTTTGCAAACTTCAAAATCAAAATTTTGTTTGCGGAAACCTAAGTTTTTGGGGCTGAAACTATGATTTCTAGAACTGAAACTATGGTTTGACCACTTGGTTTTAGAGTTTTGAGATTGAAAATTTAGGTTGGTCTCTCTAATATATTTCTATTCCAGCAATAAAATTGCTAAAAAGATGAAAATTTTAGCCTAAAACTACGATTTTAGTTTCCTGAAACTATAAGTTTGAAGGCTCAAACTAACACCTTCTAGAAGTTTTTTGAGTTCAAAAATTTGTTAGTGCATTAAGGATTCCTATTATCTCTCAATATTTCACAAAAATTTCACTTGGGAAGCAAGATTTTTGGTTCTGAAACCAAAAACACCAATTCTGAAACGTACGTTTCAGCCTCAGGAAACAAAATTTAAAATTGTTTTGGTGGGTTTTAACACCGTTAGTTTTCTCTAGAAAGTCAAAATTCGGCGTTCGGAGCTCAATTTTGAGACCAAAAACTCAATTTTTGTGTTCTGAAACCTGAAACTAACAAAAACGTACCATTTAAGACCAGGTTTTTGACTTATGGTATCCAAATTTGGGTTTGACTAGTTCAACCTTTGCTGTACTGTTTTACCCGAATCCGTTTACAGAAACTTAAAATTTTGACCAAAAAAACTATACTTATTTTAACTAAAACGTTTGACCCTATAACTGAAACCTAGACTGGAACCAAAAATTTTGGCTGGTAAAAATCAATTTTTTTGTGCTTATGCTATCAAATGAAACCTATTTTATCAATATGAAGTGGATGTGTCAGTGTTTTAAACTTAGTTTTCGTTGTGAAACCTGATATTTTTGTGCTGAAACTAAAACTTGGTGTTTGGTGTTATGTGGTTAACGTTTAAGATTGGTTTTAGTGCGTAATCTTATTGTTAATTAGGTGTATATTTAAACTGTGTCAAAAAAACTAATGATTTATAAAAAACACCCAAATCCGGTCCTTCCTTCGTGGTTTTTGTTATTTTCTTCCTTAGTTTCAGTAATTGGTAGTTTTACTGATGGATGATTTAGGTTTAAGTTATGTTAAGGTGGTTAGAATTAAAATTAATTTAAGAGAAAATGAGGATAAGCCTCGAGAAATGATGAAGGATTAGAATAAATAGCAACAAGCAGGGATGGTTTGAGATAATGTGTTGAAGAATTCAATTTATCATACAATTTAGGGTACTCTTAGATCGCACATATGACCACTTAACCCCCCTCGAAAAAAATATTTGAAAATATTTAATAAGTTTTTGAGCACTTTAGTTTAATACAGAATATCGTTAATTTTAGTGATGATAACTTTAAACTGAAGTTTCGGGAAAAGTTTAGTGGATTACTGGACAAAACGGTTATATCTTACTAGCGGACTTAGGCAGAGAACGATTCTTTCAGAAATTTTATATATTTTTATAATAATAGATAATAGTTAAGTTCATGAGCTAATGTCAGTTAGAAAGCCGTCTAACAGACCTCGAGATGGAGGGATATCGTGGGCGACTGCTAGCGCAGGGGATGCTTTCGCAAGAACCCTACTAGGAATATCTGTCAAGTAGAAGACAATGAATTTGTGTTTCTATCGAAAGATACCCATTGTCTCTGGCTTTTTGAGGTTGCAAACTAATCTGGCAAATACTCACAGATCCTAATAATAATATATTTTTTTAATTTTAAAAGCTGTTTCTAGTTTGTTGGAAAAAGAATTTCTTAAGGAGTAGTTCTCTGCTGCGGTCGCACCAGTTTTACTAAGCGCTCATTGCTGGTTGAATGCTTAGTAATTTTATCCTAAGTTATAAGTCTCACCTTAAATCGTCAAATTGTTGACAAAAAGTAGAGTAGAAACGATAGTTAGAAAAGGTATGAATTAATTAGTTGGTTAAACACAGAGCACTGGGTAATTAGATTATATAAGCGAATCGAACAGCTTAAAGAAATATACCTATGAGGGGAGGTTGAGTTAATCTTATTTTGTTCATCAATATTTTATCTTTTTACTAAGGTCGATGACTGAGTAGTATTTCTTGGGTTGCCTTGATGTTGTCCACTTGGCACTTCTGGTTTGGTTGTCAATTTCGTCCTGCCGTAGTCCTTTGGGTACTTGTAGTCCAGACTTCCTCAGATGGGGTTATCTCGAGTATCTCATTTTATAATTTTATCGAACTTGAAATGAGAATTTATTCTCTGTTTTATTTGTGAAAAAAGACTAGTTTAATTTTACTGTAAATGCAGAAAAGAAAAATTATTTATTTTTTGAAAAGGTCTAACTGAAGATATCTAACTTGCTGCTGACTGAGCAAAATGAAACACTGAAGATTTCAGGCCAGTCTTTTTGCTCGTAAGCATAAACCGGCGGCTGATTCAATCTTTAATTATTCAGGTTTGACCTGCTCCTTTGTTCTCCCTTTCTAATAAGGGAATTTCAACTAGTTTTTATTAGATTTTTTCAAATCAAATATCTTTAACTTATTAGTCCCCTTTGATAAAAACCGCAGCCTTCAGTTTGTCTTATTAAAAATTCATATTACTCTCTCTGATGCATCATATTGCAGGTGCACCTCTGCTTAATCAAAGCAAGGAGAATTTCAGCGCAGCCGGCAAGACTGCTAAATATTTATCCAGTTTGTTTCAAGTTAAGTTAAAAGGGACGTATTAATAATCGCCGCCCTTTTAAAATATTGAGCATGAAAAAATGAGAAAAATTGGACAAGTATTTAAAAAGGAGTGGATTTTCAAAACAAGATTTTATAGTCCTAATAAGAGTAAATCAGTCAATATCTGATTTAGTGAAAAGAGGATTTAATTTAAATGGCACGCTCCAATTTAGAATAAACAATTAAGACAATGGTCTTTTGTCTGTGTAGTATTTCTCAATACTACAACTTACACAAAAAAGTCGCCTGTTTTGGCACGCGCTCCCCCCTCAAAATTAGTTTATATTGGAGCCAAAAGCGCTTTTGAAATAATTGTACGGTGAGTCAGCCAAAATAGATGTCTCAAAATAGTACAAAGGGTGACCCTTTGGGTTGGTAGAAGGTCTTATCCTTGAGGGGAACCGTTCGCCACCCACTCCACCTAAATCCGCTACTGATTGGTTTATATATGATGTATCTACAGCAAGTAAATAGAACATATAAATTTTCCGAAGTAGACCAATTTTTTTTTCACCCCCCAATTTTTTTTCTCCAAATTTTTTTTCACCAAATTTTTTTTCACCCATTTTATTTTGATAATGTCTTTATTGTCAAGAAAACGGTTGAATTAAAACTATATTGTTCCATTTTGGGGTTCTTTCTGTTATACGGCGCAAAATTTTGAAATCGATAATTGAGTTTATCTTTTTTCAGAGAATCCTTGAAGTAATATAACCAATCAAATTCGAGCATTATGATCCAATTTTAGGCCGTCAAACAGAAGACCCTTTTTTGCAAAAGTTATGCGAGTGCCAAAAAACCAACCTGTGGAGTGGAGATAGACAGCACAGACGACTTCCAGTGCGAAGAGGAGAGAACTGAGAAGCGACTGGAGAAGCCACCTGCACAAGTGTCCATTCACTTTGCACAGGAACTCACCAGGAACCCCCGACGTCGAGGTCTGTCCACGTCTTCCACCATGCTCAGATCCCATCTCTTGTTTAGGTTAATAGTTGTTAAGGCTTAAAACAAGAGTTGTAATTATTTTCCAATTGATACATTTAGAAAAAAAGTTGCTTCTACACTTGGAAAAATGTAACGTAACCTAAGTTTTTTTTTTCAAGATTTTTATTTGAAAACCGTCGAGCATAACTTTTTCTGAAAATTTTTCAATCTTAAAACAAAAAAAAAACACGTCTTGATTATTACTGAATTGACCGCGAACAGTTTGACTGAAATGAAATATATCCAAATTAGACTCGTTTTGTGGGCCATTTTAATAATCTTACTTCAAATGAAAGAAATTTCCATTTTTCTTACCTGGTATACATTAGGGATCAATTTTGTACTGTTCAAATCTATCAGTCTTGAATCTAAGACTTATTTCGCCGGAAAATGCAGCTCAATAAACTAATAACTAATTATAAACATTGATATTTTCTGATAATTTGATTGCCTCAAAAATGTCACTGTAACAAATTTTTATCAAAATCCTGCTGTTAAAGTAAATCATTCTAAGAGCGTATTATTAAAAATTTTGATTAACCGCTAATTGTTATTCGTATATTATTCTAAATTCCCAACAAAAAGGTAAGTTTAGTTTTTAGAAAAAAATACGATAGAAAAATTGCTTGTCCAAGATTTTAATTTTCTTCGAACCAAAATATGAAGTGCTGGAGTTAAATTGGAAGAAGAGCTTACTCGTAATATAAGATTTAACGCAATATTGGCTCCAAGATAAGTTTATAAAACTTGAAGAACGTTGATTGTAAACAGAGTGAGTTAACCATAACACATCGGAGCCTAGTAAGCTCGCCGCTCATCGATTAGAGCTTTTTTAAAAGATATATCTATGTAAAGGAAACTACAAGCGAAGGTGAAACAAAATTTTCAAACGGCTACGGCACAGTTCTGACTTCTATCTCTGCCCATTCTTCGCACTAATGTTAGAATTTGAGGTCGCAATTAACTCCAGGAATTAACTTTTGATTCTTTTCCATACCAAAGTCAACTTTTCCACAAGATCAAAGTCAGCGTAACAATGGTTAATCAAAATCAACCGTGGTTAGGCTGTGCTGCGGTTTAAACTTTACATATCGGGCGTTTACCGATTTTAGCATCCCAGCTAATTATAGCCCCCATTATATAAAAAAACTACCATGGAGGAGGGGTTACATTTTTGTTTCTAGGCGCGTGCGTGGAGGGGGGATTGTGGATAAGCGATACAACGATAATAGGAAAGATATTTTGGATGGCCATCAAAAAGCCAAATCGTACTTTTCCATTTTGAACTTTTGCACTTCCTGTGTAAAGTTGACGGCCGGCCAATAAGCAGAAGGGCCGACCTACCGAAAACAAGAATACCATTCCAAAAAGCCGAAAATTAAAGTTGTTACGCAACATAACAGACTTTCACTGTTGTTATGCAATTAATACGTAATTTTTATGCAATTTACGTTATTCTGAATTTTGGCTTCAAGATGTGATGATTTGTAGATATGGCGGTTTAATTGATCTCAGACGTCTACAGTGCTGATTTAAATTGTAAGAAACGAAATGCATAAAAGTTGAAATTTAAAACGCATTTTTTTCAATTTGAGTTGATTTTAGGTGAAAAGTGAAGAAGAAAAAACTTGCTCAAAATTTGAACAGAATTGATACTGTGTAATTTGCTTTGCAAAATTCGGGCCCAAAATGTTACTCCAAAAACTATCAATTTTGGCTTTTTCAGGCAATAAAAAATTACGCTATAACTGTTGGGTCGGTTACTGACAAAATATATCAAAATGAGTCTTTTACGCAGCCCAACAAAGTTTAAGAAAGTTATAATCTCCAAAACAAATAAATATATAAAATTAATCTTGTTAAATTATCTGCGTATTATTCAAAAAATGTCGTTTTTAATAGATAAAACACAATTTGTTTAAAATTAAAAACAATTTTCAAAAAATTGCTAGGCTGTTTAGAGATTATACCGTCCCAGAGAAACAAAAAAAAAACAATTTTTGTGTATCCAGGATTATGTTGTGCACAGAAAAAAAATTAAATTTTGCATGCACATGACTCGATTTGCGGATGAAAAAAAACTAAAAAAGAATTGGGACTATTCATAAATTACCTTGAAAACATATGGAAATTGTATAGCTAGCATTTTTTCTGACAAAAAATTGTTCTTTTCTTTTTGTTTTAGTACGATACACCAAGTTTTATGCCAAAACAAAAAAAAATGTATGAATTTTGTATGATTAGTATTTTTTCATAGACTTAGTTCTTAGAGTTGTATGATTAGCATTTTTGGTTTATGGAGGTCAACCCGGGTAACTGATTCTTTTTCTGCTATAACCTTTTTGCTGGCAAGAAAACCTATAGCTTTTGTATTGCGTTACTCGTTTTGTTTTTCGAAAATTTTGCGGTTCAATTATTAATTTTCTACCGCAAATCCGTTTTTAAATTTGTCGGTGTATCGAACATACGCTGAAGAGTAAAACTTATAATGAAGCAATCGAAACTATTGCTGAACCTTTTGTTTTAAAAGTTCCTTCACCGAATGTGACTTCTTAAGAATATTGCAAAATCAGGAGCCTTATTTGGGCACGGCGCAACCACCTTTCCTTCATTCTATAAACAAACAATTCTTTTCAAAACCGCTCAGACGAATTTTTCAAAAAGAAACAGGGATCAACCGTACAATCCCCCCCCCCCCCCCCCCCCAAATCGATTTTGGGAGAAAATATAGGAGAAAGTTTAGGGAGAAAATATGGATTTATCTTCAGCTAACTTTCATTATAGCGTACAATGGTCCAAAATTGAATCATTTTAATAAAGAAAGTTGAATTATAATATTAATTTGTGTAAATGAACAGCATAAAAATGCAAGCACCTGTAAAAAATGTAAAAAGCAACTTTAGTTTCGTGTTTGTTTGAAATGCATATTTAATAAAGAATCTTTTTTCAGAAATAATAAATGAGGGAATTCTACGTTAGGTCACTTAAGGGGAGATTTTACGGATTCAATCAAAACAAAGTGAATTTTGATTGAGCCGAGTTGGTCTAACCGTTTACTAGTTATTGACCCACTATACTAGGTAAAAAACGACAAAAAGAAGAAACCTGAGATTTTTTTAAAACTGCAAAAATTTTGCGGCAGTAAGCGGCTGACTATGCAACTTTTTCATATTCAAAAACAATCTTTTGGTTGCACAACTAAGGAAAGAAAAAGCACAACTAAGGACAGACGAGACGATGGGAGTGGTACAAGTTTGTCCGTGAATAGTTCCATTTTTTGCTACCAAAATTTTTCCATGTAATATCAAGCAAAAATAACTACTTTATTTTCTTCAAAAATAGAATAAAAAGAACAACATCTCAGTCTTGTACTGTTGGCAGTTTACAGTTGACAAAAGTGAACCCCCCCCCCCCCCCCGTCTAAACACCAGTTAGTTAAGTGTCAAGGGTGAAGTTTAAAAAATTCTATATGCTCAAGGTAATTTTTCTTCTGACCTGATACAAAGATCAAAGTAACAGTTTTTGACAAAACTTTTACACTTTATTATTAACTACAAGTTATGATGTCCTTTGAGACAGCAGTTTTCCAAATAATTAGCCAATTCAATTTTTAATGGCGCGTCATTCATCTATAATAAACAGCTCTTGATCGGCAAACCAATCGAATCGGAGAGTTATTGCAAAATGAAACAAAGCAAATGAAAAAACATTCCTAGAAACAAAACGTTTCGTTCTACTAACGCGAATAGAGAGAAATACAAAAAAAAAACATTAAAAAAAATTTTATCGATTTTTTTAATAATTTTTTTGATTAAGACCAACTACTGTGCAAGTGGCACCAAATGTTGTGACCACATCAGTCATTGAAAAAAAAACTACAATTCTTTTTTCGATTTTTGATTAGTGTTGTTTGTTCTGAGCCTTGTGCAAAAAAAAGAACTCATACGAACGCATAGAACTTTAGTAAATTAGACATATTAGACAAAAAAAACAATGAAACAACGAAAAAATTAGTTCACTTCAAAAAAATTTTTAACGACAAGAAATCCTGACATGAAAGCTTCCAAAACTAGTTTTGCCATTATTTGGTTGGATATTTGCATGGAAATAAAAAATTCAAAAACACACCCGAAGACAAAAGTATTTCCCCATTTTCAATGGTCGGAGTAAAAATATTCATAGGTTTGCGGTGGTATCAGTAGTTGTTTGATTCAATTTTATCTGCGAGAAAAAAATTTTCCAAAATTTTCTTTTTGGTGAAAAATGTCCTCGCAGATATTACAACATTTGTTTCAATTTGATTTGTCTAGTCATTTTGCTGTAATTGAATTTCCAAAATTTAAAAGTTTGCATGTTGTCAACCACAGTTTTGAAGCGTTTTTGGCATATAAATTTTCTAACATAGTTGCGATCATGTATAACTTACCTAAATACACATATCAGAAGCGTAAAATGCCCAATTTTTTTAGTGGAAATTTGAGCTCAAAAACTATTAAGATAGGAGATGACGTTAGCTAGTTCTCGTATAGATATTGATATAGGGCAGGATACAATGTTTCTCAAAGTGCTTCCGTTGTCTGGGTGCCACGAGCGCTACTTAGTCTGACATAAACCTCACCCTATTGTTATTTTCTAATTTCAACTTTAGAAGACAAGATGCAAAACTAAAACTCTGCTGAGATTTTGAATATTTTCAATCTATCAAATTTCCAAGTGTTACGTTTTCGACGTATCGAACTAAATTTACCCAAGCACAAAACCAAATGACTATTTGGGTCTTTTTGCGATCCGCCCTGAAACGATTTTGTTTCTTGAACAATAATTGGTTTTGCCTAAGACTCATTAAGCTTGAGGTTCAATTTCAAATTAAATACTGAATCGATTTAGAAAAGTTTCGTTTGAATTTTCAAAAAACCATCATTTAAATGCACTTGAATAGTTAAGGTGTTCTAAACAAATTTTACCAATAAGGACCCTAATTTTCCACAGAAAGCTGCATTTTCCTTTTAGCTGCTCTTTTTAATTTTCAGCTCTTTTCAGAAAAAAGTGAAAGTAAAGAGAACGTCTATTTCAATGCCATTTGTTCACCTGTCTCAAATTTCCCTCATTTGATCTCTGTGGTATGAATTGAAACTCTCTTTCATTCATATCCAAATATAATTGTTTATAAATGCGTTCTTTGGCTCAATGTTTGCGTTTTGATTTTCAGATTTTCAGAAATGTTTGCATTTTGAAAATAAAATTTAGTTTGATTTATAAATTCAAGACAATTACTGTCGACAGGGGCGGATTTTGGGTGGGGGGGGGGGGGGTTGGTTTCTGATCCTCTTCTCACCTCAGGGATTTGACCGCCTGCCGACGCAAAGGGTCTCCTCCTCGGCATTTTTTAACAATTCCATTTTTTGATGACCGACGTTAAAAATTTTCGTAAAGGCGCCTTTGGCGCTAATATATACTAATTTTGAAGGAGAGAGCGCGCTAGAAAAAAAAAGCGTTTTTTGGTCAAAATTTTCAAAAAGCGCCCAAAATTTTTTCAAAAGTTTGCCTGTGGCGCAAAAAAATTTGTCAAAATACGCTTTACTAGTCTTCAAGGAGCGCTCAAAAACTCAATTTGATCGTTGACTTAGAAAAAAGGTCAATAAAATATTCAAAATTTTTTTTAAATTCAACAATCCCCCCCTGGAGAAAATTCTAGATCAGCCCCTGACATTCGGTGGTGGTTTTGAAAATTAGTTTGAAGAATGTCTTAACATAAATAATACCCTAAGTTCTTAACAAGGCTGCTCGTATCAGAGCGAAGCCCTGTATGTTCCGCTTATGCGTTAATAGAGCGAAATATATCGCGCGTTAATTGTCCCATATTGGCCAAAATAGCAAATTTAAACCCCCATAACTTTACGAAAATTGATTAAAGGTGAAATATCTTTTCAAATTTAAGCTCAGGACAACAATACCTTTTGAATGATATAAAAAAATTCCGTCAAAAATGGCTAGTTAAAAAGTCGAAATTTGTCTGAAGAAAAAAAAACCCACCCCGAGCACAAATATTCCGTTACTTTCGTATCGAAAGTCGGAACAAAAACCAAGCTTCTGACCAAAACAAAATCTTCTACCGAGCGAGAACGTTCCAACTTATTTAGGAGAGCGCGTGGTTTTCTGTAGCACTAATTTGTTCAC